TTGTTTCTTCCCTCATCAACGTTCGTCCGTGTTTTTTCCCTCATCAAAGCTAGTCCTTGTTTCTTCCCTCATCAACGTTCGTCCTTGTTTCTTCCCTCATCAAAGTTCGTCCTTGTTTCTTCTCTCATCAATGTTCGTCCTTGTTTCTTCCCTCATCAAAGTTCGTCCTTGTTTCTTCCCTCATCAAAGTTCGTCCTTGTTTCTTCCCTTATCATTGTTCGTCCTTGTTTCTTCCCTCATCAAAGTTCGTCCTTGTTTCTTCCCTCATCAAAGTTCGTCCTTGTTTCTTCCCTTATCATTGTTCGTCATTGTTTCTTCCCTCATCAAAGTTCGTCCTAGTTTCTTTCCTCATCAACGTTCGTCCTTGTTTCTTCCCTCATCAACGTTCGTCTGTGTTTTTTCCCTCATCAAAGCTAGTCCTTGTTTCTTCCCTCATCAACGTTCGTCCTTGTTTCTTTCCCCATCAACGTTCGTCCTTGTTTCTTCCCTCATCCCTAGTCATCTATTTCCTATTTCAGTGCCTATTAGATTATTGTTCGTCTCTTTTCAAAATTTGTCCATTATAGCGTCACATTCTACGTCTTGTAACTGTTGGCACTAGACACTGACTATGAATAGTACCACATTTTCTTTAGAAGGTGTGGGTCTTCTTTAGTGATCTCTGTGGGCCATAAAAGGGAGCGCCAGCTCTAACCAAGTCTCACAGGTTTTCGCAAAGCGCAGTCAGTAGCAAAGGGTAGACCTGTTGGGGACGTGTGATCCAGTCCCGCGGACCCCTAGGGGTTATTCCTGGAGCTATGAAGTTCGTGCTAAATGTGCATCCGTTATGCGGAGAAAGATGGAACCATATGGGATTAGACATATTGTGATTAAGTCGATATTCTCAAATGAATAAATAACTAGACCTGAGTTACATCGAGTTTAAACAAGAACCGACATCACAGAAATCAGATCAAACCCACAAGCGCCCCCTCCTCATCTTTAGAAGGCAGCGAGGAATTCGAATTCCGACAATACAAATAACGGTATGAAGTATGTCTTTCCTCTGAGTATAGAGTATGGGCCAGATCGCGTGTTGACTTCCCTTTGCCCCATTCTCCTCCCGCTGTAATACTCTATAGGCATACCTCAGCATTGTTACCCTTCTCTCAGAAAGACTTGACCCCAGCTACCTTGTCATGCGTTAACTCATCACCTAGTGGGACAGCATTATACCATCTGTCTATCTGCTCATTTCCTAAGACACATTCATGCCAGGGAGAAAATATCCAAAGGGCGCTAACTAGGCCTTCTGGGCTATCCTTCGAATAATGGGCACATATTATGGCGGCCGCAAAAACACCCTAACAGGGCCTCAGTCACTCTTCCGGCGACTAAATTTTCGTACTTCCGGCGACCACCGCCACCGCCGAGAGTATCCCTCACGCCGTTTACGCGGAGTGGATTGGGGCTAAACTAGATGGCTGGGACTCACGAGCAGCAGCTTCTGCATCTCCTGCAGCTTTGCTCTTAAGTCCCAGCCATCTAGTTTAGCCCCAGAAAATGCTGAGAGAAGAAATACAAAAACACGGCGGCGTGGGGGATCCTCTCGGCGATGGCGGTAGTCGCCCGAAGTACGCAAATTGAGTCGCCGGAAGTTGGCAATTTACAGGTGACTGAGTTCCCGTTTTTGGCCGCCATAATATGTGCTCGTTATTCGGAGGATAGTCGACTTCTGAATCGATGCTTGCCACCATGAACGGAATATGTCTGTTTTCTTTCTCAGCGTGCTTCGGAGGCTGTTACTTTCATAACATGAACGTGCATCTGGTTCTGAAGCCACTGAAAAGCTGCTGTTACTGCCTCTATCTCCAGTTTCAAACTGGATTATGCCGAATCTTATCCATGTCAGTTGCAGGTTCCCCGTGGTATCCCCTAGCTTGTTCTGCACACTTTGCTCACATGGTTGGTTTGGCAGAAGATGTCATCAAGCAAGTATGTAGCCCAACCAATATCACTCCTGGTGAAGAGTGGTTACACGTCCCTCCTGTTTAATTGCAACATTTCTTGTATTGTCATGCAGCCAGCAGAATGTTGTGGTCAATAGAGGGGTCAACGCTCTCATCAGCGACGATGAGACGAAGTAGATGTACTGATCTGCACAGACGGATCTGTTATTCGACAACAAAGAAGGGCATGGTTGTTCACAGCCCGCTCAGCGGGCAGAACAATCAAAGAAGCCAGCGGTGCCTTTTCCATGGCAACAAGCAGCATGACGATGGAGGTGATGAGGGTAACAGAATCGTTAAAACTAATATCCTAAGTGTCACGATAGATGGTAGAAACGTCAACAGAGAGAACAAACTGAAGTATCTGGGAATTACATTTGACAGGAGTCTGTCCATTAAGGACCATGTGGAGAGTGTTGTGACGAGATGCCAAAAAGGACTTAGTGCACTTAAGACTATGGCTGCAATTGACATAGAGCAGAGAATGCTTTTCAAACTATACCAGCACCTGATCCTGTCAGTGGTTGATTATGGCCTGGGACTGCTTACCGTCTCAAAGAGTCAGATGGACAAACTCGAGGGCATACAGAACGCGGCTATGCGGGTCCTGCTGGTTGCACCAGAGACACCCCAGTGGCGTCTTTGCGATACATCATTGGTTTGCCGACGGTTGCAGGTAGGCACAAGGTGCTGCAGGCGAAGTCATATCTAAGGGAAGCTGCTCACACAGACCACCCTCTGCATGAAGCTCTGGGTGCAGTTAAGGGTCAGCGGCTGATAAGAGGGAGGTCATGGATGGCTCAGGCAGAAGACACAATTAGACAGGTTTACATCTTTGAGAACATTAGGCGAGGAGTGGGTCAAAGTGCCACCTGAACAGTCAGACTTGTGTAGAGATATCACGATGAGCGGGAAATGCAGAGACTGGCCAGCAGGTGCCACGGAGGTGGAAATTCAGCAATTAATTCAAAATAATGCTCGCCCAGAGGATTTGATCCTTTACACAGAGGCAAAAGTAGCGCTTGGGTCTTCTTAGCAAAAGTTAATGGTCGACGTTTGGTGCAGGAGAGCCTATCATTTGTTACCACAACATGCAGCTTAAGGATGGAGGTGGAGGCGGACACTGCAGCTTTCCACTGGCTAGAGAACACGATACACACACACATCGTGATTGTAACTGACTCAGAAAGCATGCTGACGACGATCAGAACAGGTATGCTTCGTGCAGAGTGACATTCTTCGATGCGTAGGACACGGGTGAGGAGTATTGTCTGGATTTTTTCACCGGGTCACGCCGTTGTGTTGGGAAATGAACAAGCGGACATACTGGCTAGCTCTGCACAACTTGGTGGAATACTGATACATGATAAGGAAGTCTTGATTAGTGCCTTGTGGGAGAGCGTGTACAGTTCGGAGGAGAAAATGGATCCCTACAGTCTGGTGAGATTGATGTAGGGGGGAGTGACGAGAGGTTCTGGCAGATGCTTGAGGCTGAGAGGAAAGACAAGACGGACGTTTAATCAGAATGCTACTGGCACTATTAGAATCGGAACTCTTCGCTGACTGCTGAAGATGGGGACCGAGCGCTTATGGGAATGCCCCGTGTTCTGTGATGTCGGTTCTTAAATCAAATTAAATCAAATCAACAAGTCCACTGTGCGTAACGTCGTCTTTTTCTTCGTTCCGGGTACGGGGGTATCGATGGAAACAAAAGGGCTGATAAGTTGGCTGGATCCGCTGTTACTGCTAAAATTCAACCCATGGATCATGCTGATATTATTAATGCCCTTAGAGAAGTGGGAATTTTGGAGGTCTTTCGAGACAGAGTTTCAACATTGCTCGCCGGAATGAAAGACTCTGAAGTTAAAATTGCCATAGCCAAAAGCCGGGCATACAAAAAGACTTCTCAAACAACAAAGATAGCAGTATTCGTCACACCACGCTAGGGTTCATATCGAGGGAAGGATCTGAGCATCTATGGACGTGTCCGGAGTACAATGATCATATCCCAACTAAATAACTCACTAAATAACTAACCTGCTTTGCACACTTTGAGCTTGTTAGCCTAGAAGTTTGGAAGAATCCTAATAGGAAATTCCCCAACGCTGTCAAGTGTGTCCGTCCGGTGTCTCTTGGAGACGGGTGCCCAGAAATGGCGCTGGAGTTGTGTCCACGCCAAGTACGGCTGAAATAACAACACAAGATGTAATAACACATACAGTACAAATTAGAACAGCCGTACTGATGCAGATTGAATTCTTCGCACACAATACTCAGGTTGTGTGAAAAAATCTGTTTGGCATGTATTATTCTTATAGTCCATAATGCATTGTGATTATGACCGTGTGTGACACACTTGTGTCTGTGCGGCGCGTTTATAGCAACTCTTTTTTTTTTATACAGACGTTCCTGTGTACCTTGATGCAGTTACGTACATAATTCACACCTATCTACTTACACAGCATCTGCCTTCCTAGATTCACACCCATCAGCCTATCTACACACGCCTCTGTATACCTAGATACCATCTACCTACCTTCACACCCGACTGCCTACCTACATACCTGCCCGTCTACTTATATCATCGTCTTTCCCTCCTCCCCCCCCTTTTTTTCTTCTTCTTCTTCTTCTTCTTCTTCATCTTCTTCTTCTTCTTCTTCTTCTTCTTCTTCTTCTTCTTCTTCTTCTTCTTCTTCTTCTTCTTCTTCTTCTTCTTCTTCTTCTTCTTCTTCTTCTTCTTCTTCTTCTTCTTCTTCTTCTTCTTCTTCTTCTTCTTCTTCCTCTTCTTTCTTGTGTCCTCTTCTATTTTTCAGCGTCAGGTTTTGAAGAGACGTCGGATGCTGTCAGTCAGATTTCTCTTCACATTGTTTCTCTAAGAGATTATTTATCCATGTACATTGTAGGAACTTCAGGCCTCACCTTGGTACTGACGTGTCAGAGCCTCTCACTGTCCAGCTGTCTCCTGATCGTGAACTGTGAGAAATTCTGCTCTGGACTAGGGGCTCTCCGGGCATGGCTTACTACATACCTTACCGCATCAAACCGGAGACACATGTCTATAACCCAGTCCAACATAATCAACCAGCCTTGACCGTGTTTGACGTCAACAAAGCGGCACCAGCCCAGGATCTCAGGTATGAGTAGTAGCAGCAATAGCAGCAGCAGCAGCAGTAGTAGTAGTAGTAGTAGCAGTAGTAGTAGTAGTAGTAGTAGTAGTAGTAGTAGTAGTAGTAGTAGTAGTAGTAGTAGTAGTAGTAGTAGTAGTAGTAGTAGCAATAGTAGTAGTAGTAATAGTAGTAGCAATAGTAGTAGTAGTAGTAGTAGTAGTAGTAGTAGTAGTAGTAGTAGTAGTAGTAGTAGTAGTAGTAGTAGTAGTAGTAGTAGTAGTAGTAGTACTACTAGTAGTAGTAGTAGTAGTAGTAGTAGTAGTAGTAGTAGTAGTAGTAGTAGTAGTAGTAGTAGTAGTAGTAGTAGTAGTAGTAGTAGTAGTAGTACTAGTAGTAGCGTAAATAATACTACAAGAAGAAGTAGTGAATGTGAAAGTGGTATTAGCAAAAGTATTAGGAGATATGTAATACGACAGAATGTTTATTCTTTGCAGTTTTATTACCAGTAGTAGCAGCAGTACACTACTGCTGCTGCCACTGCTGCTACTACTACTACTATTACTACTAGAAGTTGTAGTAGTAGTAGTAGTAGCAGCAACAGCAGTGTTAGTAGCAGCAGTAGCTGTGGTAGTGATGGACGTAGTCGGTGACACAAAACTGGTAATCGTAGTAGCAATATTAGTATACGGAAAGGCGCCAACAGCAGTAATGTTATTAATAATGTAAAATGAGAAAGCACTGTAGCTATAAATTATTTTGGTTTGGCTGCACGCGGACTAAAAACTGACAAGCCTTAAAATCTGAACTCTCCGGAAATTGAGTCACGGTGGTTATAAACGGCCGGCTGTTCGCTCTTTTGCTTTCGCTTGTCACCCTATAAATATATAGTTGTGACTTTTTCGTTGCGTGGCTACGTCTATTAAGTAGACTGAGTGGAGAGAGGTGGATCGGCTCACTGATTTCATGTTCCGCAGTTGGAGTATGTTAGATCTAGATTTATATTGTGCATCCTCGCTTGGAAAAAAAAGTCTCCAATTCTGCAAGTCGCTAAAAGTGATTTACTGATCTGATGGTATTTTGAAACATAAAACGCTAATGTTTACAAGATGTTTCGATGATTGTTGTCATCATTAGTGTAATTTCTTACTCTGGACGTATGCATTCATTTGTCCTTGTTAACCCAAGTGTTTAGCAAATGGTCTGTTTGAACACGTTGTTGATTATATATATAAAAAAAAAAAAAAAATGATGTTGAATGTAATGATATGCCATTTGCTTGATTCGGGGTAGATCTTGTAGTTCGTGCACATGGTCCAACTAAGCGATGCCTATGTAGTCATATGTTGTTCAACTCACTGTTCACATATTCACTGCCTGGGCTTATGTTTCTTTGCTTGTTATTTTGTGTGTGTGTGTGTGTGTGTGTGTGTGTGTGTGTGAGTGTGTGGCAGTTCTCGGGAAAATGCTTTATGTCAACAAGACATTTCTTTTCTCAAATCCCTACTTGTTTTTTTTTTCTCTTCCGCTAGCTCATTAATAGTATGGTATGAATAGCAATCGTTACGATTTAGCTATAAGTAAGTTATGATTAAGGCGACAAAGTTAGTTTTTTCGAAAAGACGACAATTAAGACAAAACCTTTAGCAATAAAGCAATATATATATATATATATATATATATATATATATATATATATATATATATATATATATATATATATATACATATATACACATTTATATATATATATATATATATATATATATATATCATCATCATCAGGTGCCTTGCGACAGGCGTGGGCGATCATGCCTCTCCATAATCTGCGATCTCCTGCAGCATATATCAGTTCGTGTGCCGACACACCTCCATGCCATGCCGCAAGACTGTCAAGAATCTTCTCTCGTTGTCTTCTTCTATCTCTCCTTCCACAGATCTTCCCAGTTGTCACAACCTGTTCCATTTTTCCTCTTCTCATAACATGGCCGAAAAATGATGACTGTCTCCTTCTGATGTCTGTGATAAGTTGTCTTCGGGCTCCCGCTTCTTTCAAAACCTCTTGGTTGCTCTTTTTGGCTGTCCAAGGTTTTCTAAGCATTCTTCTGTAAAACCACATCTCCGCGGCCTCCAGAAATTGTTTGGCCTGCCTACCGATTGTCCAGGATTCACAGCCATATGTTAAAACTGGATGTATGTAGAAAGCAAGAATTCTTTTTCTAACTCTCAATGACAAGGATATATTGCACAAGATGTTTTTCATTTTATAAAATGTAGTTGTTGCCTGTCCTATTCTATTTCTTATCTCAGTTATGCATCTTCCATCTGATGTTATCCATGTGCCCAGATACTTAAATTTCTGTACTTGTCCTAAAATAACACCATCAACTTTTATTACACACTTAGGAATAATTCGTTTCTTTGATACCACCATTACTTTTGTCTTCCCATTATTCAAACTGAGGCCCATTCTTCCACTTTCTAACACTACAATGTCTATCATTTCCTTTAGTTCTTTCTGACTTGTTGCTATCAAGACTGTGTCATCAGCATAACTCAAAATGTTTATATTGTGCCCACCAACCCCAATTCCGGGCATACCAATTAAAGCTCTCATTATATATTCACTGTATATTGAAAACAAATCAGGTGACAGTACACATTCCTGTGGTACGCCCCTCTTTATGCTTTGAAATGAACCTAAACAGTTGTTAATTCTTATAGCTGCTGTTTGCTGCCAATACATGTTCTTTATTATTCGTAGATCTTTCCCATCAATGTTTAATTTTTCTAACAGTTTGATTACTTCTTCATGCTTCACACAGTCAAATGCTTTTGTTATATATATATATATATATATATATATATATATATATATATATATATATATATATATATATATATATATATATATATATATAACAAATAGACATGTACTGATTAGCACTCTTAGAAAGGAGTAGAAATATAAAAGGACACTCTATGACGACAGCGCCTAGCTACAGGACCAAGTTTACTAAGACCCACGTACAACTATGCTCCTCTGAAATGGTGGCTTCCCTTTTACACCATGTTTGCTGGATAGTATAAACTCACAGGTATGTAATGTGGAAACATTTCGCCTTAAACTGTTAATAAAGCACCATAGGTTACAGAAATTCGTATAATACCCAAGCATTTGTCTAATAACGAACGAAATAGTAATTATAAACACTCCCGATCGCAATGCTGTGTCTAGAATAGAACGGACATTTAAAGAAGAGATTTCATTAGTCGCCAATTGTGTTCGACGTAGTACACATAAATAAACAAATGGGAACTCTCATGGCCACAGAAACAGAATATATATATATATATATATATATATATATATATATATATATATATATATATATATATATATATATATATATATATATATATATATATATATATATATAAAAAAAAAAAATACATACATACCGTGTACAAGGAAGTTAGTCATCAGGTCTTAGAACATTCCTTTCTGTTCAGGTACCTGCAGGGAACCGACCAGTGTTCGGTGTTCGAGAAGCCTTACTTCTCACCCTCCTACCTTCCTGTGCCTGTCAACTACAACACCAGGCTGCCTCATTGGTCAGATAGTAGGATCACGAAAGATTGGCTGGGTAAGTCAAAATGGACGCTAGGCAGCGGCACTGTTCGAAACAGAGGCAAATTTGTTGCTTCTGTCGGACGGTGGCCGATGCATTTTTGCTCCATTTGTAGACTAGATATAGTTTCGTCGCCCAGCTTCTGAGTTGAATGCATGGCGTGACCCTGTGAGCTGCGGATTGCATTTGGAATGTTTTTTCGACTGTGACCAACGTGTTGGTGTGAATTGTAGATTCAGAAAATGGCGCGATGCCTGTCGTGCAGTGTTGTGGTGCCCGTATGTGACTAAAATTGATCGCGTGGGCAACTGCTGATCTGTTGGCGACTTCTGCTAACATCAATGATGAACTGCAATTCTAATACTGTGATAAACATTCTGTGTGTTTTCTGTTGGCACAGGAGCGGAGCAAAGATGGGGTGACCCGTTTGCTGTGAATCTGAAACTAAGACTACCAGACCAGACTAAGTGACAATGTGGCTGATTGGGTGACTGTGTGATTGGTTGGATGAGTGATTGATTGGGTAAGTGACTGATTGGGTGAGGGACTGGTTGGGTTAGTGATTGCTTGAGTGAGTTATGAGTTATAAGTTATGATTAGGGTTATTTTCACGGCACTCCGGATATGTCCATAAGTGCTCAGATTCTCCCTCCAACATATAAACCAGCGCCCCTCGGTTGATAGCCCCAGTCCTGTGCTGGCTGACAAGACTTCTTGAGCAACCGGTGTGCTTCTCGTGCCTGGCTGTGCCGATCTTTACTCCCCATTCTCGCACTCTTAGCAAAGATGTGAATGTGCTGCGCCCAAAACCCCACATTATGGCATTAACGATGTCGGCATGGTCCATGGGCCGGTCCTCTGTAACTAAGACAGAACCGGCTATTCTGCCAGCTCTTTCACTGGCAACTACATTGCTTGGGTAAGTGATTGTGTGTGACTGGTTGGATGAGTGACCGTGTGTGACTGGTTGGGTGAATGACCCTGTGGGACTGGTTGGATGAATGCCCGTGTGTGACTGGTTGGATGAGTGACCGTGTGTGACTGGTTGGATGAGTGACCGTGTGTGACTGGTTGGATGAGTGACTGTGTGTGACTGGTTGGATGAATGACCGTGTGTGACTGGTTGGATGAGTGACCGTGTGTGACTGCTTGGATGAGTGACCATGTGGGTGTGGTTGGATGAGTGACCGTGTATGACTGGTTGGATGAGTGATCGTGTGTGACTGGTTGGGTGAGTGACCGCGTGTGACTGGTTGGCTGAGTGACCGTGTGTGACTGGTTGTATGAACGACCGTGTGTGACTGGTTGGATGAGTGACCGTGTGTGACTGGTTGGATGAGTGACCGTGTATGACTGGATGGATGAGTGATCGTGTGTGACTGGTTGGGTGAGTGACCGCGTGTGACTGGTTGGCTGAGTGACCATGTGTGACTGGTTGTATGAACGACCGTGTGTGACTGGTTGTATGGATGACCGCGTGTGACTGGTCGGATGAGTGACCGTATGTGACTGGTTGGATGAGTTACCGTGTGTGACTGAATTAGCAAGTGATTGTGTGACTTGATGGATGAGTGACTGTGTGTGACTGGTTGGGTGAATGGCTTTGTGGGACCGGTTGGGTGAGATACTGGTTGAGTAAGAGACTGGTTGATTAAGAGACTGGTTTGGCGAGTGACTGATTACGCGAGTGACAGATTGAATGAGTAACTGATTGGGTAAGGGACTGATTGGATGAGTGACTGATTGGATGAGTGACGGATTGGGTGAGTGACTGATTACGTGAGTGACTGATTGAATGAGTGACTAATTAGACTAGTGACTGATTGGGTGAGTGACTGATTGGATGAGGGATGGATTGGATGAGTGACTGATTACGTGAGTGACTGATTAAATGAGTGACTGATTGGATGAGTGACTGATTGGGCGAGTGACTGATTACGTGAGTGACTGTTTGGGTGAGTGATAAATATAGTCTCTATACCCATGCCAGCCGGCTAGAGCTCTCATCGGGGAAGATTGTTTTTTGTTAACTCATTAATGGCTTACGTGCCACCCCCAGGTTAAAATATATATCAGGAATTGTCCGGGGAAGTAAAAACTGCAGGCATAATGATGACCGTATTTCCTATCTTCTGATTTCCCTATTGTCTATAAACATATATTTCTAGCACCACTTACCCTCTTAGTCAGTGGGATGAGTGGGTCATTTAGGCCATACTATTTTATAACTAATACAAATAATTTCAGTTTAGTTTTATCAAGTTGCAAACTGGCCCGGGCATTTGTTGACTTTATGTTGTCTGACCAAGCAATTTTACTCTAATTAGTTTTTTTATTAAGAAGTACTGGCATCCTAAAAGATCCGAACATTAGGGAAGACTGCCTAGTCAACAGCATCTTGTCTTGTGAACTGAATCATTTTGACTATTTCAATCACTTTAGGGTATTGTAAAGTATAGTTGCTAAAAGTAAAGTGCCTGGAAAGAAGGGCAGGGGTTCAACAGCAGGAAGATGGGTATATGACATAACTCAAACCTTGGTTACGATAGTGTACTCGATGGGAAATTTGGTGAAAGACTGAGTTTTTTTCAGGCAAAGGAACTGCTGTGTGGTGATAAGTTTGCCATTGCTCTCTGAACGGATTTACGAACATGTTATTGAAAAAGGCATCGGAAAGCTTTGTTCTGTTGCTAAATTGAAGCCTGCGATCTCGGAATTATGAAACCTAACCGAGCCTCTATGCCAGATACTTTGATAACTGTTGTGTGTAAGATATTATATAAAACAGGAGCCGCCGTAGGGCAGTGATTAACCCCTCACCTTCTAACCCGACAGTCTTTCGATCGAATCAGCATCAAGTCGGATTTGGTTCCTTGGCTCCCAGGTCCACCAAGCTAAAAACTTTTTGTAGACAATGTCATGTAATTAAAAGCGGCCGGCGGAGTCTTGACTACCTCACACAGTGAGCGCCGAGAGGTCTTTAGAAATGTGAAACCTGCATCATATTCCCGCTGTTCCACTGTCGTGAAGGGGATTCTAGGGCATTGCCCGGTACCCAAGTTGGGGTGGGTCGGTCTAGGACCTAGGGGTCAAACTCATCGTCCACCTTTTGAAGCTGTTCTCCCACTTATATTGTCGTCTACCTCTTGCTTCCTTGCTTTCGATTTTTCCGTCTAGTATGGTTTTTGAAAGATTGTAATTGTAGCTGAAATATTTACATTATCTACTTTTAATTCCTTTCCAATTCTAATTGCATACCCAGGCTCTTCAGGGCCTTGGGTAGACTAAGATAGAACAATACGGTATAGCAGAAATGTGATCGTTCTCTGGCTAACGTGCCCTAATTGTCCCACTTTCAGCTCACTGGGGCAATCAGCTCATCCACCACGACCGAGCGTTCGGGGCCTGGCACGTCCTGTACGGAACTACTTACTTCTATGGAGACAACCGGCGTCTGTAGCAACGTTTCTTCCGCCCCAATAAAAGCAACATCAATGATTGAGTAACAGTAACAATTGTTTTATTTATTCATTTGAATTTCGTTAATTAGAAGTCAGTGGAACTACACTTACTTCTATGATGATAATAAGACCCTTTCCCAGCCCTCCATGAGTATGAGGCATATAGGGTTTGACATATGTTTCATAGATCAATCGGCATTCGGTGGGTGAAAGTCAGTATCATTTCGGTGGCTTTTACTTCACAGGACTCTACATGGGTGGACCTGGGAGCAAAGGTCACTTCTGGCTACTTCATGATGTGAACAAACCACCTTCTGATTCACAGGCCAGCCTGTAGCCACTGCTCAGCGGTGGCTTCCACTTCTGTGACAGCGAATTCTTTAATCTCCACCGTGTGGGTTCCGGGACCCTTTTATAGTGAAAACAAGAATAGACCCACTGCCTACCCAAAAGCCTGTCGTAAGAGTCGACTAATTGGGAGCTTCCTTCAAACTCGGAGTGCATCTGCAAGAAAGGCAAGGAACCAGCAGTTTGCATACAAATGAGTCGCATGTGTAAAACGGATGCACACGCGACACTCAGGTTCTGGAACAGGTCTGCAGTCTAGAAGTGAGTGAACAACCAGAACATTCCGCCAGAGTTTACAGTCGGTGAACTCGAAGAAGAATTCTTTAATCGTTCGTTGCATACATATAACCGCTTTTTTTCCGTATGGGCAATCTTTATGTGCACCCACGTATATTATATCTTTTTTTTTTTTTTTTTACATCTCGGGGATGGAGTGGAGGGAGCACTAAATATAAGGCTGGATGGTTGGAACAGAGGCGGTCAGTTGAGCCCAGCTGTTCTGGTCTGTCAGCCTCTGCAGCAGGCTTTGTTCCAAATATATTAGTATTACCTTTCCTCTGGTGTTAACAATGCAGAGCAAGAAAGGCTCCTGCTGATTTGGCAACCTTGTCTCTTCAATACTGCACAGGCTTTGTGCAAGAGAATGACCGGTTGTTCCCTTTCCTGCTCTGGTGTCGACCAAATGTCTTAAAAAATGGGAACATGAGCACCGGGCAGTTTTCGAAATGTTCGTGTAATTGTCTGGGCGGGACACATCAGGTAAATATAAACTGACTGCACACCTCAAATGATATGGATTATAATGTGACGACGCCTAGAACTTCACATCCCTGTCACATCTAAGTCAATCAGGTGCCTTCTCCACAGGAAAGGTTGGTGGCAATGAAACAAGGCGTAAAAACAGGCCTTTAACTTTTTTACTTGTTTCACTGTATAGCGCCCCTTTATATAGTTAGCCTATAGGTGTCAACAGTGAGCTATTCTCCGATTTACGGCTACATATTATTGCGGCCATTAACACAACCTGACAGGGCCTCAATCACATGTAAATTGCGGACTTCTTTCCAGCGTAGATATAGCAGAAAAAGTAACAAACCGCCAAGTTAAACTCGCCGCTGGGACCCCCCCCCCTCCCCCACCCCCGCCCTGCTACGCTCGGCGCAGAGTGGGACTAGACTAGATAGCTGGGACTCACGATCAGCAGCTACCACATCCTGCAGCTTCCTCATTTTATTTGTTCGTGAGTCCCAGCTATCTAGTTTAGCCGCGCCCGGGATAATCGTGCTGGTGAAAACTGCGTTACCAATGCGACACTAGCCGATAACATTTAGCCAAGTTTCAATGGCGCCACAGCCACAAAGAGCAGATTTTCAAGCACTATTTGCAGCTTCTGTGCCACAATTTTCAGATATAAAGGCCTCAGTTATCGCTAAGTAGTCGATTTCGCCATTTTCCATTTTGTTTCGTTCCTTTTTATTTTCGAGTTCACGTTTTTGAATGTTTACAACACACGACCTAATGATTCCCTGTCAGGGTGTGTTTTAGGCCGCCATAATATGTGACCGTTTTTCGGAGGATAGCCCAACAATGTATAAAATCACTATACATATTTACTAATGTCAACAGTGTATACAACCACTAGACATATTTAAGTGTCATCCTTACATAAAACCAGTAGAGATATTTACAAATATCAACAGTGTATAGATCCACTAATTATATTCAAAAGTGTCGTGCTTACATAAAACATGGAGATATGTTTACAAATGTTATCACTATCCAAAACCAATTCACTCTGACAAATATTCGTAACGTGTGTAAAAGCCACTATATTGTAAACGTCACGTGTTTCCACTATATTGTACCGCCACTTGCTTTCTTTTAGCGGAGACCATTCCAAATCTAAGAGGATTATTTAAATATTAGCATGAAGCCACAACAAGGCTTCACTAAAAACTGGGAATTAATTTTTATTAGTCTTGTATCTAATTTCAGTGATCACATCGCATCTGTAACAGCTCCATTGATAAAACCATAGTTCGGTTGTTTTTTTAAGCTTGAACGCGTAATTTACAAATTTATATCTCATATAAAGCATATGTATTCTCATTCAATGCTACCAGTGCCAGAAATGGTCACTGACAAAAAACCATAAAAGAATATTAGTAACTATCGAAATGAGATGTAATTGAAGGGTCGTAGGAGTCATCAAAAGAGATGTGTGTGTGTGTGTGTGTGTGTTGTCCATCAAGATGATGATGACCACTCTTTTTCATCAAGTATGAGTACGAAGATGTCTGATGAGGCCGATGCGGGCCCGAAAAGTTCTTGGACAGGGAGGACAGAGAATGAGCGTTGTGCCAGGGAGGAGATCTCCTGCAGTCGCCTTTCTGTCCATCCTTTTCCTAATCAGTCTTACTGTTCTGTTGGCTTCACGTGTAGCCGCGCCTTGTGTAGAGTTGCACGCCATGTATTTCTATCTTGAGAGGCAGCCTCCCAACTGCTGTCATTCATCCCAAATGCTTTGAGTGAATACTTCAAGATGTTCTTAAAGCGTTTCTATCAGAAGAGATAAAGATATGAAAGCATAAAAGGAAAAGTCGGCACACAGTCGATTTTAATTACATACAAAGGCAGCAAATCTTGGCCCACTGGGAGACATATTTTTTATGTGTGTTAATTTTATTAACTCGAAAGATTACCCTCACTGCACATCGGGGAAGTCCATAAGCGTTCGGATCCCATTTTTAGTATATTCCACAGTGCGTGGCGACTGGCAATGCCGGTTCTCTGCTGGTTTACTATTCTTCTTTGGCTACCTGTTCAGTATTTATGTTTGGCGACATGTCTTTTGACCTGAAGTTCTTGTAGTCTTTTGAGTTATTGCTTTGTTACGCTATACCATCAAAGATATACATCAGAAGAGAAAAAGAATGTAGAGCACAAGGGAGAACAAGAACGAAATGGAAAGGTAAGATCAGAGAAACACAGCAACCGCACATTGAGTCGGTGGTCGAGGCGGCAAGAAAAGAAAGAAGCAGAACCGCATATCTCCATTGATACTTGAAGCGTTAAAAGATTAAAAAGGGGGGTGGGGGTGAGAGAAGAAGAAGAAGGGTTGCAAATAAAGTCAAAACAAATTATGTAGAAAAGACACGTCAGTATGTGAAGTAAGGAAAGATATCCAAAGCCGCTCATAGATATGTAGTGGCTAATGGTTCTTGTTGCATATTTGTAATGCCCAAGCGGCACACGATTGCAGTGTAGACAACCTCATGTTGTGTGCCATTATTTTCGAGCTGTGGCCGGTTTTCATGCTATCATTTTCAGGATAGGTCAATCTTGAAGCTCAGGCTGGCGAGCTGAAAGTACAAACCCACTCTGGTTGTCTCAGTCCTCTGACACATTTTCTTCATTTTCCATCTGAAAAAAAAAAAGTTGGGCGCGGGGGGGGGGGGGGAAGGGGGGGGGGGGTGGATGAAAGCGGTGTTCAAGACTGCCAAAACCTATAAATTCCGGCACCCGTCGCTCAGGTGAATTAAAAAAATAAACACACCTTTAAGTGAATGCTGAGACATATCCATCAGGCTGACACACCACCACCAGGCTGACAAACAACCACCAGGCTGACACACAACCACCAGGCTAACACACCACCACCAGGCTAACACACAACCATCAGGCTGACACACAACCACCAGGCTGACACACAACCACCAGGCTGACACACAACCATCAGGCTGCCACACGACCATCAGGCTGACACACAACCACCAGGCTAACACACAACCACCAGGCTAACACATAACCATCAGGCTGACACACAACCATCAGGCTGACACACAACCACCAGTCTGACACACAACCACCAGTCTGACACACCACCACCAGTCTGACACACAACCACCAGTCTGAAACACAACCAGCAGGCTAACACACAACCATCCGTCTGACACACAACCACCAGTCTGACACACAACCACCAGTCTGACACACAACCACCAGGCTAACACATAACCATCAGGCTGACACACAACCACCAGTCTGACACACAACCACCAGGCTAACACATAACCATCAGGCTGACACACGACCATCAGTCTGACACACAACCATCAGTCTGACACACAACCACCAGTCTGAAACACAACCACCAGGTTAACACACAACCACCAGGCTAACACACGACCACCAGGCTAACACACAACCACCAGGCGTCACACAACCACCAGGCTGACACGCAAGCGTTCGACGACTGGGCTAACACAACTCGACAATGCTCCACTTTCTTCTTCCTGTTGTTTGCACCTGCTTTGTGCTGCTAGGCGTTGTAGTTTAACAGATAATGGACAGCCGAGCTAGGGCAGGTTCGGTTGTTTGGCACACTGCGATACTGTAATTGAACTCCTAGGATACAGTCCTGAAACAAGACGCCTAAAAGTGGACGGATAACCAGGACTTCATTTGGAGTTAACAGCAGATGAACGCAAAGGAAAAGTAGAAGAAGTGCTGTCAGTGACTCCGTCGATGCATATTCTTCTAAGGCTTCCTCTACATGTTGGTGTTCTCATTTTCTGAACGTCACTGTTGGGAATAAGATGGACAAACTTTCTTCATTTAGCACAATGGCATGGGAAAACAAAGGTTTCTC